AAGATCTCAAGTGAGTGTTTCTCGCCTTGATTGTGGCTCAAATAGAGAAGGGGGTTCTGTTCTTATTTCCCCCTCCAAAAAGCACATTTTAACATCATTTAACTATTCATTCATTCATTCATTCATTCATTCATTCATTCATCCATCCATCCATCCATCCATCCATCCATCCATCCATTCATTCATTCCATTTATACCCCGCCTATCTGGTCATTTTGACCACTCTAGGTGGCTTACAACAACAACAAAAAAAACACAAAATACAAAAACAATATATAAATAAAAAGGAATTTGTACACAATTAAAAATTCTATAAGATGGAAAAGGGAAAAACATAGTAAAGAAAGCAAGGGAGAGGTCAGGGATTAATTGGGAGAGAAAGCCTGCCTAAACATCCATGTTTTCAGTTGTTTCTTAAAAATACCCAGCGAGGAGTATTTTTAACTATTTAAAATAAAATTGTTCACACAGAACAAAAAACGTTTGTCTGCCTTGAATGTGGAAAGGGCTTCAGAATCAATACTGGTCAGAAAGCACATCAGAAAATCCACACTGGAGAGAAACCATATCAGTACATGCAATGTGGAAAGAACTTCAGTCATAGCACACGTCTGATCTCACATCAAAGAATTCATATCGGGGAAAAACCGTATAAATGCTTGGAATGTGGAAAAAGCATAGCTCATAGTGCAAGCCTTGTTTCACATCAAAGAGTCCGCACAGAAGCAAAATCATATGAATGTCTAGACTGTGGAAAGAAGTTCCATTATGGCTCAAGCCTAATATCCCATAAAAGGATTCATACGGGGGAAAGCCATATAAATGCTCAGAGTGTGGGAAGAGCTTCAGTCAGGGCTCACACTTTGTATCACATCGAAGGCATACAGGGGAGAAACCGTAATATGCAAAGAATGTGGAAAGAGCTCCAGTCAGAGCTGACATCTCACTCAGCACCAACGAATCCACACAGGAGAGAAACCTCCTTTTCTCGTGTTTTACATGTGGAAAAACCTTCAAGATTAGCATAAGCCTCAATTACCATTTAAGAGTCCATACAGGGGAAAAATCATATAAATGCTTGAATGTGGAAGCAGCTTTAGTCAGAGTGGTACCCTCACTATGCATCAAAAAAACTGCAGAGGGGAAAAACCATATTCTTGCTTTGAGTGTGGAAAAAGCTTCAGCCACAGCACATACCTAACTTCTCGCGAGAGAATCCATACAGGGGAGAAACGGTATAAATGCTCTGAATGTGGAAAACCCTTCAGTCAAAGACGAAACCTTGCTTTGCATCAAAAAAAAAAATGGGGATGGGGAAGTAGATATGATTTAAGTGTCAGAAGACCTTTATCTGAGATAGCAGCCTCACTTATTATCATAGTTGCTACAAGAGATAAGAAAGTTTATGCTGACGCTCAAAATGAATATCCTATCATAAATTGCACAGAAGGAAGGCCGATGCAAGGCCCAGCATTTTCATTATGTCAGAGTTCATATTCAAGAAATTGAGGAATGATAAAGGATACTCTGTGAGACAAACTTCAAGGGACCAATATGGTAGTGACAGTTCAGTGTTTCTCTAAACTGCTGCTATATTTTTTTTTTCATCAGCTTTCCTCCTCCTTGGCTTCCTGGACCCCAGAAGATAGGAAAAGGCATGTTACTTGATGATGATGATGCATAATAGAGTTTTGATCTGAGTGAGGGTTGTTTATTTTATTTTATTTTTAGTTTTGGATCTTTTTATGTTCCAGCCAGACCTCAGCAATCTGCACTCACAGCAAGCTTACACATCAAAGGTGTTTTTAAAGGAAAACCTGGCAAATTATTTCCCCATGATCCATGGGGAAGCACAATCTCCAGGCTGGTTTCAGGCAAGAGAAACAATTTTTCAAAAACAAGAAGGTGGTTATTTCCAGCTTGTGAAAAAAAATTAGTCCATCAGTTCATTCTCTGGAATTCCCTAGGTGGTTGATGTTATGTTCATGTAGTTTTGCTCCTGTTGTCTCCATAGCATGATCTCTTCTCTTTTTGGCTTTTGTTGTTGGTTTTTTAAATTGTTGCACTTCCAGAACTTATTTGTTTCTGAAAAGTATTCTTAATGTTTTTGATCATGGGTTTTCCAATAAATACGGTAAATAGAAATATTCTTTGTTTGTGCTATAATTAGATATCATTATTAGATAATGGGATTTGTTGGGGTAGTATTTTCCATATGATTATTGTTTTAATTTTTCTGTGTCTATTTGATTTTGTATAGCTGACCAGAGTAATAACTAGCTATTAATAAAGCAAGGCATAACTTGAATAAATTAATGAATACAGTGCATTATTTCTATACTCAAAATGTGGAAGACTTTCCACTTCTGCACAAACTCAACTGAATATCAAAATCATACAATGCATTCATCTGCAGATTCTGATCAGAATCAGCAAAAACTGCAAAGGAGAAGGTGTGAGTGATGGGATTAGCCAGTAAGTAAAGGAAGGTGTAGGTTTGCTTGTGGAAGGA